AGGTCCATAGTTCAACCTTAGATAGCTGATGCGACATTGCCCGGGATGTGCCATGGTACTCGACTTTCCTCGGTGTTGGTGTCCAGGAGTTGGTTTGTTCATAGGGAGACCTCGGGCGATCTTCCTTGGTGTCGGGAGCATCGAACGATGTGGGCTGATTGGCACAAGCCGACCTGCATGATACGGCGGCTCTAACATGGAGGCTACGGCTAGAACGGCGCTGGGCAGGTCACGTCAGTTGCTGTTGAATTAACAAAGTATGCCTACCTCGCAGAGCCGATCTTAGAGGAGGGGGACTCAGATGGTTGTTGAGACTTGTACATTCCTGGCGAATGTGGGCGACTGCTAGGCGCTGTGCTGACAGCACCGCTGTGCAATATAGGGTCCACTGCCAATCGCTCAGGGAGGACCTTCTAATAACAATAGTCGCCTATATCACCATCCCAGCCCTCACCGCCACTGTGCGGCTCTCCAACCATACAGCCTCTTCGAAGGAGTCGTACAACTCGACGTTCGATGATGTGGAGCTTGGCTCAGCTGAGGGGGTGTGGGCAGAGGAAACTCCCGAATGTGATAATGGTGTACCAGCAGGTTCGAAGTCGTCTTCGTGATCATCATGGTCCCTTGCTTGTTGCTTCTGCTGGTCCAAGTCGTCCAGTAGGAGCATCGGCCTCTGTTGGGACTCTATATAAGACGTTCCTGCCACGTCGAAGAAGCTCACACCGGAGTCTTCGGGGATGTAGGACATTACTCAAGACAACCAACTCACGTGGGCTGAGTATGACTATGTGAAAATAAAATAGGTCTATAATGTATTGGTAAATGAGCCTCGTCGCTCTTACGATTAGTTTTTCCTACGTCTACCGACGCCGCCAGATGACTCAAACTGATGGCGCCTACCTGCCGATTACCCCCCGGAAAACTTGCGGTTATAATCTCGATTTCATCTCCCCAGCATAATCCACAGTGCCCCACACAATAGCAGACAACACAACACTTTAACCGCCATTTATGGTAACAGAGTATCAACATTCTTGATGAGGGAGGAACTGTCCTCGACAGGAGAAACGAATATACTACATTCACCATCGTCAACAGCAGTATGTCTCTTGTTGGCAACATTTACTCCGTCTTCTCCCCCTCACAGTTCTCGCAAGCGTGATGATGACAACATCCCTGAAATACGACCACATCCTTCCTACCACCAACAGCACGTCGACCAGCCACTCTAAACTCGAGGAAAAATCGAGAGAAGTGAAAAAAAATCAAAACAGGGAGGAACCGATGACCGTCATAGGTAGGTAGAGAATAAGCATATATAGAAAGCACACGAGGACTGCCGCCATAACAGCGATGTCGATATAAGTCGAGGCTGTCATAGGCGACGATCTAGCAGGAGGTACACAAGATGCTTTGTCTGACGGCTCAACTGGACACCAGATGTTGGTACTGCTACGGTCTACTGTGAGATGCTTATTGTCGGTAGAAAAGGAGTGGCTGCAGCAGTGAGCGGTTGAGCCATCCTAACCACGACGATCACGATAGACTGATGATGTCTTATGAAGAATTCTATTGGCCTGTTAACAATACCACACCATCCCCAACTCTCACCTCCTCATTCTTCAGTGGCTCCGGCAGCTTAGCCAAGGCTTCAGGCAAGCGTCCCATGAAAGGCTGAATGGTGTGGAGGTCATCCGAGTTCACCTCCGACTCCTTCTCAAACATATCCAGCATCTCCGCAATACCAAACGTGCCCAACGGTCTCACCTAAACCGAACCATACCGAATCCCAACACTATAAAGCTGCCTACCGTATCGCGCTTCCGCAGAGTGACAGTAAGGTCGTTCTGCTCCTTCTCGCCAACAACGGCAATGTAGTTATAAGCCGCAACTTGTGCCTCGCGAACCTTCTTATTCATAGTCCTCGTGGAAAGATCAGCATCAGCCTCATAGCCTAACCGCACCAGCTGCTTCCGGAGGTAACTACAGAGTACCACATGCTGTACCATACACTACTGAGGTCCCTTACTCAGCATAGTCGCTGTACTTGTCACTCACAGGTACGACCATAACCTGCCTAGGTGAAAGCCAGAATGGCCACTTGCCGCCATAATGTTCCGTCAAAATTGCAGTGCATCTCTCAATCGAACCAAGGATAGCACGATGTACCATAACAGGGCGCTCGAAACCTGACAGCTAAGCAACTCGACGACTATTTTCTCGAGGCGACTGACCATGCTTGAGCTCTCCTAGAGTGATCTCATCTGCCTTAGCCTTGCTTCCGACATTCTCAACAGCGGCGGAGTTTTGGCCAGCCTTCTCCTGGTGGTCATCAGCAGGACTGTTAGCAGCCTCTGATACGGAATGAGCATCACCACTTTCCTCGGTCTCAGCGGTGCGGTATTGCAGGTTAAACCTGGAGGAGGTAAAAAATACACAACCAGGGATAGAACCGGGGATCACCTGATTGGCAGGTTGAAATCGAGCTGAATGGTACCACATTGGTGATAACGATTCAGAGCATCCCGAAGACGAATATCGATCTTAGGACCATAGAAGGCACCTGAGGGTCGTAATGGTCCACCCAAGCCGAATGGAAGTGATACCATCGCCAGGATTCAGATCGTAATCGATGCCGCAAGCCTCGAGAGCATTCTTCAAGCCGTTCTCAGCAGTGTCCCATATGGCTCGAGAGCCAATGGCCTTCTTGGGACGAGTCGAGAGGCAAACCTGCGTTAAATCGATCAAGTCGATCGGAAGCCTGAGAGTAGTCAATTACCGAGAAGTCGAAACCAAAGGTGTTGTAGACGAATTTGAGGAACTCCAAGGCATGAGTGATCTCATCCTGGACCTGCACAACCAGGAGTCAATGACCATCGCCAAGATGGAAGGTTGCGGACTAACCTGGTCGGGGCGGCAGAAGATATGAGCATCATCCTGCTGGAACCTCCGCACACGTGTGAGGCCAGATAAGGTACCCGAGAGCTCATTACGATGAAGAACGCCAAAATCGGCCATACGGATGGGGAGCTCCTTATAGGATCGGACCTAATGCTTACCACGCTAAGGCCAAGTTATACTAGTAGAAGTACTAATACCTTCTGATCGAATATCATACAATGGCCGGGGCAGTTCATAGGCTTTAGGTACCACGTCTCCCCTTCAATGTTCATACTATACCTAAGCAGTAGGGGCAAAAACATACCCAATATCTACGACCGCACCAGCTGGGCTCACATATTATCCTTGTAGTTACCACAGTGACCGGATTGTTGGAAAAGGGCCTCGCTGAAGATGTTAGGGGTGATCACCTGCCAAAGGGGGCGTCATAGTACTACTACTGGTAGATCGAGAGCTGACCTCATCAAAGCCACGAAGTCTATACTCCCTCCTGATGAAGTCCACGAGCTTGTTGTAGATGACCGCACCATGACTGGTCCAGAAGCAGGAACCAGGGGACATGGTCGGATGGAAAAAGAACAGATCCTGGCACAGGCAATTGATGTCGCTATCACCAGTCTAGACAGTCCTACCTGCTTCTTGCCAATAAGCCTATGGTCCCTCTTCATGGCCTCTTCGACATTCTTCTTATATTCCTTCAACATCTTCTCCGTAGGGAACGATATGGCATAAACACGTTGCAAGGAGTCATTCTCAGCCTAAGGGAACCGTAAGGCCAGGTACTACTACTACTACTACTACTACTACTACTACTACTACAACTACTACTATTACCTTTCCTAGCCAGTAAGCCTGCGAGTTCTTATTAACCCAGAAGGCCTTGGCAACTCCTGTGCGAGGGAGATGAGGACCACGGCAGAGATCCACAAGGGAGCCGATGCGATATACCGAAGTCAGCGATCCATCTGGGACCTAACAACACAGTCGTCCATCACCTTCCTCCTCCTCCTCGACAGATCCTACCTTGGTGGAGATGAGTTGGAGCTTGAAGGGATTATAAGCGAATAGCTCTAACGCTTCCTCCTTGGTGACCACCAGTCTTTGGAACTGACGACGACCAATGAGCGCAATTGACTTAATTTTTCCCAACTACCTTTTGATCCTCCTTAACAATGGATGCAATACGCTTCTCGATTTTCTCGTAATCATTTGGACCCAACTTGTGGTTGCCATAGAAACCATCATAGTAGAAACCGTTCTCGAGAGGGGGTCCTGAGGACGTAGTAGGAAGGTTGATACGATAAAGCAAGGCTTACCGATGGTTAGATAGCAACCATACTCCTGCTCTAGGGCCTCACCCAGAATATGGGCACTGGAGTGCCAGAAGGTATCTTTACCCTCAGGGGAATCAAACTTGAGGAGTTCAAGCTTGCACGAGCCTTCTAGGGGTCTCGATAGATCCCATACGGTCTAACAGTAGGATCGACAATATAACGAGGAGAATGAGGAGTGATAGCAGCTTACCTCCTTCTGCCAAGCCTTGACCATGTTGGCTTGGACCCCATCCTCCTCTTCATCATCATCACCAGCATCGGAACCAACATCAGACTCGTCATCAGCAGCAACAACCTAACAGGGCGGATGAAAGGAAAGGAATGAATAGAGCTACTACTACTACTACTACTACCTGATCCATACTGTCAACAGGTTCTGTGTAGAGGACCTTGGCGGCCACAACAGAGTTGGCCAAGCCCTTGGATATACCGAGGGCAATATCCAGAGGGGTAGTCTCAAATTTATGGCCCTCTTTCTCTGTCCCATCAGGCAGGATGATGGTGATAGGGTCCTTAGGAAGGGCAGCGACGCGCTCCTCTTGGGCAGCATACAGCTTATCAAAAAGATCTGTGGTCTCCTTGAGGTAGGGTGCCTACACAATCCGACCTATTCTGAATCTTGAGAGGTCGAACCTCAAGATTCTCCACTTCACAGCTCTATTCCGCAACTCCCAGCTTACTGTGCCATTGGTATGAATCTTGAATTCGCCTTCGAACTTGCCGGTCTCACCAAGCTTAGCCCCCTTGCCTTGATAAGTCTTTGTCCTTGTGCCGTACATTCTAGTGTGACTGTTACTAATAGGAGTAGATGAGTAGTAGGTACTAGACAAAGTGCGTCGAAACGCTAGTGTAAGGGAGGAGGAACCGGAAAGGAAAAATGTCAACTTCAACCACCTATCACTCTACAACGTCTCATTAGCACGCCGGCCTCTGTCAATAGCAACAGTAGGCAGCAGCCTTCTGATGTACTTAGCGCTCGCCCAAGTGATCGATTTCCTGCGCACATTCGAACACAGTGTTGGACACGAAATATGGAGGAGACCACCATCCTGGAGGCCGTGAATCGGCTGAGAGCCGACCCCAAAAAGTTCGTAGGGTAGAATGAGCTCGGGGTATAGCTAGGTAGTATGGTGCTGCATAGGTCATTACGGGGAGACCCTCCTGAGGACGACCCTGTTGATGCTGAAAATCCAATCGGCAAAGATGAACGCATTGATAACGAGTAGTGACTGCACCCCGCCTATCGCATAACAGCTCTTGCAGACTGGAGGAGGGTGATACCGAGGGCAATGCCGATGACTCTTTCGAAGACGTTGCAGCAGCAGCAGAGCCTTTGTTGGCATCTCCCAGTAGGCCAGTAGTTGACGGTGTGTGTGGTTTGCAATAGAAGCATCTCAGGCCTATCGGTATTAGCCGCTGAGTGTTGTAGGGCACTATCTCGGGACAAGAGAGAGGATGTAGGGCTCCAAGACTACCTAAGGTAAGGCACTAAGAAAGCCGCCTACTATGCAACGTATTCTACACAGGGATGCTTGTGTGAGTGCTGGGTATCAGTTGAGTGCCTTTGACTGTCAGCCTTTGGGCATCCTCCTCCCAGCGACACCAACGGGTACGTACCCTACAGAGACTACTTTGCCTCCTATTTGCCTTGGATTATGGGACTTGATACAAGCTTGGCTGAGTAGTCTGC